GTTATCTAAGTTTTGTGTTCCTCAGTTTTCTCACTTCTGTAATGGGGATAACGGAAATTGTTGAGGGAAAAATAATGATATTGAGCTAAAATAATAATAGCCAGCCCTGGTGGTCTAGTGGTTAAGGTTCGACACTATATCCAGTTCATTTCCCCGTCAGAGAACCACACCGCCCATCTGTCAGTTGTCGTACTATGGTGGCCGCATGTTGCTGTGATGCTGAAAGCTAAGCCACTGGGATTTCAAATACCAGCAGGGTCACCCATGGTGGACAGGTTTCAGCAGAGCTTCCAGACTAAGACAGACTAGGAAAAAGGACTTGGCCACCCACTTCCAAAAAAATGGGCATGAAAACCTTGTAAACAGCAGCGGAACATTGTCTGATATAGCCCTGGAAGATGAGAGGATGGTGCCAAAAGAGCGGGCAGGGTTCTTCTCCATTGTCCGCAGGGTCACTAGAAGTTGGAATTGATGGTACTAACAAAAATAATGATAATAATGAGCTAATGACATATGTAGAACACTTAATCCATGGCATATTGCAAGAATTTACCAGATGCTAAGCGATATGATGATAAAGAGAGTGACAACTCCTTTAGTTGTTGATGGATCTTAGCTGCAGAATTCATGGCTAAGTATGAGCTGGAACTATTGCTTGTAAGCCCATGTTATTGCAATATGATGAGCGACTTGGCCAAAATGTGAAACGCCATGATTCTTTCTTTCCTGACTAATTGACCTCTCATTTTTTTAAACAAAGATTTGTTTGTTATTCTGTATGCAAAACAATTTGCACATATAAAATCTCATCTGATGCTCAAAATGACCTGGTGATATAAATATTTTCATTATCTTCCCTACTTTACCAATAAAAAGCGGAAGCTCAAAGTAGTTGTGGGGCGTGGTTCAAATCACAGAGCATCAAGTGGCAGAGATGCAGCTCAGAGCCAGTTTTCTGACTCTGCCTGGGAGCTTCTCAGTACACCACCCCATTTAAATTGTGGAAAATTCACTAGTGCTCTGCTCTCACTGGCCGCGTGTAACTTTTAATTTCCAACTATTTCTGGATGCTCATGCTACTTTCTGGTTCTTAATGAACTTGTAATGTCATCTTAGGAGAGTATTGTTAACCTCTGGCCTCAGGCTCTGATGACTCTTGCCAACCTCTTCTTTTTCTTTCCCCCTTTAAAAATTATGGCTCTATCATTACAGGATGTCTAGCAAATTAAGAAAGGCCCACAATGCCCACTCTTCAACACTGATTCTCCTTTCCTTTCTTTCTTTTTTCCTTCCTATTTACTCCACAAACACTTATTGACTTTCAGATATTGACAACACCTGACATGCCAGGTGTATTGCTAATTGCTGGGAATAAAAAGAAACTCTAAGTGAATTTCTAAATTTGTTCTCTGATCTTCCTACTTCCTTTCTGTCTCATTTCCATTAAGAGAACTGATTTTCTTTTTGAATTATTTGAATTGAATTATTAAAATGTTTCGTTCATTCATTCTAGTATAAAACCCTTTTCACACGTACAACTAGCTACAATTTTTTTTTCTACCCATCTGTCTTAACTATTGAGCAAGTTCATATGCACACAGTTTGCATTGCCTTTCAGGGTTTTTTTTGCATCAGAGTCCCTGTTCAATCTTTTCAAGTTCACTTATAAACTCTATAATCCGCTGAATCAAAATCAACAATCTTTTTTTAACTAGATCTCAAGACCCACACTTCACCTTTATTCTCACTTCCTTGAAACCTAATCCCATCTATTTCTCAAAACTCTATGAACGGAATAGCGGTCTAATGCCAAACAGAACCATACAAGTCAGTGTTGCATTTAGACATCCACACCAAAGTCAAACTGGAGTCAGGCTTCTCTGTAAACCTGTTTAGTTTAGGTCATGCACATATAGGGCATATCATTCATGTGGGGAAGGAGGCGCGATATTCACGCCACTTCCTTCAAATCTGGAGGTTTTTACTTTTCCCTCATCCTCTTTACTTCTCATGTCTTAATTTCTTGACATGGCTCTATTTTGATAATAACATTTTCTAAGCCTGATCTGGGTCACCTCTAATTGGAACTTCACTGTCCTGTAATGATTTCTACAGAGAGATTCTCATTGGAAGATAATACTGACACCAATTCATTCATTCTCCAAGAAGAAACAAATAAGATGGAAACAAAAGATAAATTTTGAATGTCCCAATTTAGATTCATTTGACGCCTATAAGACGGAATCCTCTAGAAGTAAGATTAAACCATGCCTAAAGTACTTGTAGTGAGGTGTACGGTATGCACAGGTTTGGATGGAGCCAGAAATACTCTCCTTGTTTATTATAATGTCCTTAACAAAAAAAAATAAATGGATGCCCTCTCTTTCATGCAGCCCTCCAGTAGTCACGCAGTCAGCTATATAGGCATCTGCTTTACTGCATTTATTCCTCATTCCAATAAAGAGGACCGTGGTGACACTGGAAGTGTTGAATAGCATATCTTTTAAGTGTTAATAACATCAGGAAATTTCATCTGGTTCATAAAAATGGAAAAAAAGTATCAAGACACACATTCTCTCTAAAGAAATGTCATGTCCTAGAAATGACATATATTAATTTTATGAGACAGTCTCTTGGAAAGTGCAGGGTTTCAGCGTGCATAGCAACATATATTGTCATACCTGAAGTATGATGCAGATGAAACAGCCAACTCTCCCGTTTTACGCTGCACTGGTCAGACGTTTACTTACACGCTGTACCAGATTCTATAGTCTACAACTAAAGGACTTTGCAGAAGGTTCAGAGTAGATATATGAGTCAATTAAAGGATTGAAAATAAGCTGTAGAAGAGAAGATGACAGGAAGTGGGCTTATTTGGCCTAGAAGCATACACTTATGTTTTCATATGTCCAGTTAGGCTTTTCGTATTTCCACTGAGGAAAAAACCCAGAGAAGTGGAAACAAGTTGCAGCAATAGAGATTTGGGTTAGATAATAGAAAGCAAGTCTGGGTACATGAGACTTAAATTGATTCCCTGGGGGGGTAGTAAAATCTCCTCTGGATGTCACCCGTTGGGGTAGGTTCATTATGTTACTATTTGAATACAAGGATATGAATCAGACAAGCTCTTTTCTAGCCCTATGTTTTTAAGAAACATCCGTTTAAAGTTAATATAATTATTAGCATATGGATTGATTCTGTTTGCATAATCATAAAATGTTATAAGGTCACAAACAAGTTATTCCTTTAAAGTGTTTGTGGAAGGCATACAACATCTTTTTAAGAAAACTTTTGCATTTGTGAAAATTTCATTACTTAGTAAATTTGATTCTTTTTTAAAAGCATGATTTTTTTTCCACACTGCAACACTAGTGGCAGCTTTAGCCTCTTTTTTTGTTTTTAAAGAGGAACTCCAATTTTCTGTCTAAAAGTAGCCTTCTGCTGGACATGTTCATACTTTATTCTGCATAATTATTATTTGACAGCAAAGCGATGTAATATAAAGATATTTGAATATGAAACGTGGTACTGTGGTTCCATTGTCATCTCGTCCACTAGCTAGTGGTGTGACCTTGGACAGGTCACTTTTGAATGTCATTCCTTAGCTCCCTTGTGGCAACCTCACGAGTGTTAAAAGAGTGATATCTTGTGTTCTTTCCTTCTTTGAAATTCTACTGAGGGATGTTCTTAAATGGTAATTTAGATAAGCAGTATTTTATTTTTCACATATTTAAAAATAGATTCTTTTTTATCATATTTAAAAGTCAACAAGATAAATTGTTAGTGAGTAGTTAAAAATCATCGATATAGTTATTCTAGTATAGAATTTAAGAATAACTAGCTAATCCAGCAAATGGTCACCTTGTACTATGTAAAAATATAATGAAAACACTTGATTTCTTATGATCCAAATGTCAAATAGTTCTGATCTTTCATTAAGTAAATTTTCTGTTCATCTGATAGATTTAGAAATATACATGAATATTTGTTCCTTTCACATACCATAAAATAATGATTTTTCATTCTAAATATTCAGAAGTATAATATAACAGTATGTTATGCATTAAAAGTCCATGCTATTTCAGTAATTAGTAAGTTTCTTTCCTTATACATTGCACACTTACATATCTAAGATTCCTTAAAGAGACTATAGCCCCGTGGAAATGTAATTTAATGATTATCTGAATTATGAACACATGATCAGTTTTCCATACGATCGTAGTGGTTTCCGGCTGCCTTAAAATAGTAATAATGAATGTCATTGTCACTGAGATTTACTTCAATTATTGAAAACTATTCACAGAAAATATGTCCTGAGCAGTGACTCCAGGAATGTTAAATATAAATTAAATCTAATTCTAGGACTTAAATTTTTGAAAATCAGATTCAATCCTATTTAGGATAGAAATAATTTCCGAAATTTTATGTGTGTAATTTTTTTTTCCTAGTAAAACTTTTAAGCTGCACATTAGCAGCTTGACCTGTGGTTGAAAACTGGTGTGGAGAAATGTTGAGGAATCCAATCTTCATATTTTAAATGAGGCACAAAATATCCTTTGGAGATTCATTATTAAGAAAAGTCACTCTAGTCCTGTCTAGTCTCCCTGTTGGCAAAAGAAGGGGAGATAAAAAGAATTCATTTACACCTCACGCTTTTGTGTGAGAATATGTATTTGTTTCATCTTATGCCATGTAGTAGGAAAGCTGGTCTTTTAGCTCTATTCATAAATAAGAACAAAAAAGGATCAAAATAAAAATCTTAGTTTATGGAGGAAAAGACTAAAATCTCTATGGAGCCTATTTTAGAACTGACATTTTGCTAAAACAATTTGACTGACAGTTTTCTACTTACTAAAACACTTTCCACCTCTGATTTCATGGCTTGGCTCTAAAACCTAGGAAATCACCACTCAGTGCAAGATGCTAACGTTTCTCTCGATCTTTCTGCCTCTTCAAAGATTGTTTCCAAGTAGAAAGATAGATAGTCCACAGCGTCTTACCTAGAGATCGAGGAGCTGAAACTCCAAGGCATGACATTGTTCAACACTCAGGCTAGGAAAGAAGTCCGTCCCCGTTAGTTTCTCCAAAATATAAGTTCACATTTCGTGGTTGAGATCATTGCTCTATTCTAAGCAGTTTTACGCAGTGTGTGATTCTAACAAAAACAGCCTCTGCAGCTGGAGGGAGCCTTCGCTAAAGCAGGAGTCTGTCAAGGCGTTCCTAGTGACTTCTGTCTACTAAATTCAGACTGATGTTTTGCGAAAGGGGCCTCCACCACCAGGCCCAGATTGCCTGCAAGCATTTCCTGCCTCTGAGTAGTGTGCATGTGAGAAAGACTGCACGATGCGGAGGGGAGGGGGAGAGAGCAGAGCCCGCCCGGGCGTTTTAGGAGTTCTGATTTTACACAGAACTGAAGTGAGTTTGTCAAAGCTCTTGAGATGATTAGCTGGAGAGTCATAAAGTTGTAGAGCTTTTTCTATCCCACGCTGCTTATGAAAAAAATAAAAAAGGAAAGAAAACATAGTTCTCTTCCCTCATATACAACTTTTCCACTCTGTTAAGTGGATATACACAACTTAATCAAAATACCTTTGCAGTTCTCATTTCAAAAGATCTTTCAAGAGAGCAAGATGAATTTTAATACCATAATTCTTCTAAACTTGCAAACCTTTTTTAGACTACTTACAATTTTAAATGCTGCAGCCTGACATATCCTACCTGAGAGATCTGTAAGTAACATCCCAAGAATCCAGTAAATAGAACACTTTCTTCAAGATCTCTCCAATCCCAAGAATCCTTCCCAGAAGCAAGTAGTCTGTGTCTTGGCATATGCAGCATTACCTCTAGTCAGAATCCTCCAGTTACACAAATCCAGTGCTGGAAAAGCAGAAGACAGACTCCATCTTGATCTTATTACGGTCTTGCTGACATTAACCACTTGCAACCGCTTCCATCTAGCATGACAGAGTCCCTGAATCACGTCTCTAAAGCAGTTCACAGTATCTGCATCCTCCGGCTGACACAAATTTCGTGAACTATCATCTGTTTATCTTTTCTTCTTTCTTGTGCCTCCCCTGAATGACTTCCTCCTAGCTGCTCCAGGCTGGGAACTTGGACTACCATTTGGTTTTGATTAAAACCAGACAGCCAGCTCTGGAGAATTTAGGGAATAAGCTAATGGAAATTGCGAGTATGGCTTTAATTAGTGCATCAATTAATAATAGATGTTAGCTCGTCTTATAATAAGATGACACAAATATAAACACAGAGGAAGCTCAAGTGGTTTCAGGAAAGAAGTTACACCAATTCTCATTTCTTTATGACCCAAAATTCTCCTTAGGGAAAGTGGAAGGAAAGAAGAGAGATGTGGCCTTGGGACATCCAGGTTGTGGATAGGCCAGTGGAGCCGGCTTGGTTGTTTATATGAGAGAAACAGGAAACAGCATCTCTGAGTTTAATTATCTTGCTTGGTTGAAATTGCTCAGTATGTCTCCCTTCTACTTTATTTACAATCAATAGATTCTCTTGCTATTTATGACTTAAGCATTTTCTTCAGTGATTAGTAATTGGATTAATCTGATTATTAGGTCTGTGTGTGCCTTGCAAATTTCAAGGGATTTCCAATAATGAGAGGCATAAGTACAATTCCAATTTCAATATGAGAAATGAGTAACATATAAAGAAGTACAAGAAATATTAAACCAATTAGCCCTAAGATCCATCCTGTACATCTCTGAAATTTTAAGTAGTTTTTATCATTCACTTTTATTCTCAGTTGGCTCTATTTTTATAAAGGCTGACAGATACCTGGATATTACCTAGCCATCTTTTTACTAGTCCCTGAGAATATTGGGTAAGTAATAACACAAAGAAATATGATGTTACAGCTACTATTTCTTTTCTTATTGGCTAATTAAAATCTCTCAAAATTAACGCAAAGCATGGACTATGAGAGAAATATTAAATGGCAAGAATAACATATTGCACATGGATTTGAAGATGAGATGCATTCAAATAAAAACATGTGGGCAGAAGAAATTTTTAAGAGTTTATATCAAAACATTCCTGATTAAAAAATAAGCATTTAGATGCCTTTTATTTAACCTTTAACCATACGGCAAGAAGGAAGTCCATGCTTTCATAAATTCTTTAAAAAGTTATTTATATTCATATCCAAAATACTTCCACTGAAACTATGCCCAATTAATCTTCCCAACAATCTTTGTGTGTATTCTTATTTTGCTTTTACAGATAAAGTATTAGAAATTTATGGAAGTAATTTTCTCACAATCAAATGATGGAAAGTGGCCAAGTCCACATTGGAACCCAGATTTTCTAACTCTACATTTTGTGCTTTTCCCCTCCCTATCAGAGTTCAGCTGCCTCTCTTGTCTCCCAATTAGTTGCTGTGTGAAATTGGGAGGGCTTCTGAAACTCTCTGAGTTTCACATTCCTCTTTAAAAATGGGGACAATTCCACATAACTTGCACATTGGAAAGCAAGATCAACTTTATACACACATATATTTATAAATTTATATTTATTTCCCTTAGGAAAACAGTGGAGCAGAATGGAATGAGAACTGATGTCAGTTCTTTCCTAAAATAACTTGTGTATCTCTATCTCCATCTCTATCTCTATCTCTGCCTCTAGTATATAGTGGGCGCTCAATAAATATTAACACTCTGTTAATTCTTCTCGACCGGAGTCTCCTCATGAGTTCTATAATCCTGCCTTATATAATTTAGCCTTGTTTTTGTTTACATTGGCCTGAGGAAATAACAAAACTCTATTCACATACATTTATAAATGCCTTTTTAGATATCTAGACACTCTTATTGGTAATTTTCTCCTTAATGTGCTCTTCCCTAAACAAATAAGAATTCATCCTTATTCTATTATTAGAGGATTACTTCCCAAATCTTTAATTACTCATTTATTTTTCATCCTTCATTTACCTGGCTCCAAACAAACCTCAGGATTTATATCCTCATGAAGTCTTTACCAAATATGAGTATAAAGGTAATTAAGGAGATAATTTCCTAAATATTTAACATAGTGTCAGGCACATAGAAAGGGTCCAAAATGTTTGGCCCCTTCTCCTTTCTACTTCTAAATCTGAATACATACTCCCTTAAGTGCCTATTGCTCTAGACGAGATCAGCTAAGAAAATATGGTATAGAGGCAGTTACAAAGTTGAAAACAAAGTATCAGGATAGGAGTCTGGCTCCAAAACCAACAAGCATGATGACCCAGTGCAAGTTGCTTAACCTGTGTAAGCCTCCGCTTTAGCCTCTGGATCAAAAATTTTTTTAAAATTAGAGATGATAGTCTATGTCAAGCCAATGGTATTCACTGCTAACTAGAATTATTTTTTACTATTTAAATTATTGTTCTTTTCCATGTCTACATCTGTCTTCTGTGATGACGTTTTAAAGAATCTGGTTATTGAACTCAGCATTAAATGTATGCATTTGCAATAATTTTATTGGTGGAGCAATTATATACTTTTCTTTTAAGAAAAGAAAGTGGTAAAATGAGGATTAAAACTTATTGTGAAGATCAACTTTCTTCCCACCTCCTATGATCTAAATAATAACATCGCCTGTGATTGACAAGTCAATCCCCAGTCGTCTTCAGGAAATTTGAATCTGGGCTTTTTTAAAAGAATTATTCAATGAGTCTAATGTAATCCAACAAAATTTTGACTGTGTAAAGTGAGACCTATCTTTTGAAAAGAATGTTCTACTCTTTATAAATTGATTAGTGAACATCAATTCCACACCCACATTTACCATTTGTGATATTGTGAATGTAAGTAGGCTTTTATTCTGTCCATTTTGATAGAGAAACAGTATCATAAGAGTAGTGAACTTAAAATTATAAAGAGAATGAAGGCCTTTAAAGCACTTTTGAAGCGTCCACACATGTACGGTTAGTGGAATAAACGTAGGAGCACTTTGTCTATGAAAACTGATCCTCCAAAAATCTGTATTTAACAACTTTGCTTGCAGCTTGTTGGAGTTACCACGTATATGTCAAAACAATAACAATAGAATGCACTTAGGATTTCTGGTTAACGTTTTCAGTAGTTTTTAGATGTACTTTCTTCCAATAGATTCATTTCAATAGACATACACCCGTGTAGAAAAAACAAAATGCAAGTTTTTAGTTTGTATTTAATAATCTGCATGTGCATTATTAGTTTTTTTAATCAACTTTGTCAAACTTTTGACACTCTACTTTCGCTAGACATTTATTATTCACCCAGTGTATTCATTATAGGAACACAATTAAGTTTGATGTTGAAGTAACAAAAGGATCAAAAGCATATAAATTTTCCAAAACCAATTGTAACTGCTTCTTAGATTATTATGTTTATTGCTTCCTTTCATTGAAAATGATTACAACCCAAGAATAACTTTGGAAAAAAAAGTATCTTGATAAATTTCAAATAGCTTTGAAAACATAAACTTTCCATGTAGTAGAAAAATTATCTTGGCACAGACGTAAGAGTATATATGATCCTAGAAACTGATGCATGTTCCTGCCTGTTCAATAGGGCCAGGATACTCTTAGAAGCATGAAGACTCCAAGCCATATAAGACTCATTTTAGAGAGGTCTGATGTGCCCAGCCAGTAGAAGCTGAGGTTGTTTCTATGTCACACTATGAAAACTTAAGCCAACATCACCATGTGGCACATTTCAGCATCTTTGCTAAGTGCTGTTGTAATATTCTCTGAAATTATCATTTCATGGCTAAAAAATATCCTTGCGTCTTCAGTCTACTCAAAAGTGCTCCTTCTTCACTTTTGATTTAGAGCCCACACTCTCTCTAGTGTCTTTTACAGTTCTTTCAAGTGGGGCCGCACATGGTCTCTTACACCATCTGTTCACCTGGGGAAAGTGGTAAAAAACCTATGACCAGACTCCTCAATGCCATGTCCAGATTCCTTCTCCTTAGTAAAATCTCTGCTCCAATTAAGTCTCTGCCGTTTCAGAGTCATTCTACCTGACTCCTTCTCCCGTACTCTACCATAGAGGCTTGTGTATGTTAATTTCTGTTAAAATACAAGTATTCCTTTAGTCTTTTTCTCTTTAACATGGAATCACTGGAGGACCTCAGTATACATACAAAGTGAGCATACTTAATACCCATCCACACATTCAGGTGACGTTTACTGACTATTTACTATACTCACGGTACTGTTCTACGCACTTGGGATATATCACTAACCACAACCAGACAAAAACCAAAAGAACTTTGCCCTCAAGAAGCTTAAATAGGAGGTAGGGGGTTGGTAATCAACACTAAACATTATAAATATGCAAATTGTCTAGTAGATAGATAATTACCAGGGAAAATAGAAAGTGCACAGCATGATAAAGAGTATGAGGAGCAAGGGTTGAGGGGCAACCATGTTACAGAATTAAATAAGAGATACTAGGGTAGGTCTCCCAGGGGGACTTTTTAGTACAGATTTTAAAAGGGTGAGAGAGACGACCATATAGATATCTGGACATTGCAGAGTTCCAGCAGAGTAAACAAGGTCCCAAGGATGAGAGTGCCTGGTAGTCTCCAAAAAGAGCAAGGGGATCGTGTGGCCCTGATGGAAGGAGAAAGGGCTAGAGGACTAGATGACGCACTCA